AGAGAGAACACGAATAACCTATCAAGAAGAGCTCCAGGTCTATGGACAAGATACCAAGATATATCATGGTTAAATTCAAACACCTTCTTCTTTGCATGGAATTATTCTATGGAATAATAGTATGGTTTCATGGGAGTGAGGTGAACTAAGCTTTTGAGAATCAAATCAATCAGAGAGCATAGTAAGATGAAATGTTATATATCCTATGCACCCAAAAAAGACAAGGAGAAAACCCATATGCAAGGTTTGGTTTTGTTTTTTGTTTATTTGGTTTTGGTACTGGGCAACTGAAGTCAGAGATGCTTTACTCCTGAGCCACATCCCCAGCTCTTTTTTTATTTTTTATTTTGAGACAGGGTCTCACTAAATTGCGGAGAGCTTTGCTAAATTGCTGCAGCTGAATTGCTAAATTGTGATCCTCCTGCCTCAGCCTCTGGAATTGCTGGGATTACAGTCATGTACCACTGTACCCAGCCCGGTTTTGGATAATAGAGACTCTGTTATGATTTGGATGTGAGATGTCCCCCAAAAGCTCACATATGAGACAATGCAAGAAGTTTCAGAGGACAAATGATTGGGTTGTAAGAGTTTTAACCCAATCAGTGAATTAATCATCTGATAGAGATTAACTGAGTGGTAACTGAAGTGGTAGTGTGTGGCTAAAAGAGGTGGAAATTGGGGGTGTGACTCTAGGGTATATATTTGTGTCTGGCAAGTGGAGACCTCTCTTTCTGCTTCCTGATAACCATGTGAGCGATCTCCCTCTGCCAAACTCTTCCACCCCATGATGTTCTTCCTCACTCCCAGCCTCGAGGAATGGAGTCAGTCTTCTATGGACTAAGACCTCTGAAACCATGAGCCCTCAAACTTTTTCTCCTCTACAGTTGTTCTTGTCAGTTCTTTTAATCACAGCAGTGAAAAAGCTAACTAAAACAGACACCACCCCAAATCACACTCATAGCACTAACAAATGCTCTTTTTTATTGACAATGGTACCAGATGAAAAAAAAATTACTGTAATTTAATGTGGGGAAAATAGTTTATGCCATTTTAAAGAAGGTAGTTAACTGACTCAGGTAAAAACTTGCCCTAATAGTGACAGTGTGCTAAATTTAGATAAACTATTAGTTGGCATTCATGTGTGGTAAGTGATTTAGATAAAAAAGTGGTAATTACTACTTGTGTTCTTTAATAGAACACCCTAACTAATACATTTCCAAATGAAAACAACTTACTAATGAAAAGATGCATCTCAATACAAAATCAGCACAAAACTGGAAACTCATAGTGAAAAAGTAGGATGCTATTGGTAATGCCATATGAACCAAGAATCCAATCAATTGTGAAGTTCCCATGGTTATAACTGATTGTGCCTTGGGTTAACATTCATCTGAATTTTTGTTTCTAATATTTTTCTTCTACAAAAAAGGAAATATTCCTTGAATCTGTTTCAAAATTTTTTTCTCTCGTTATGCTTTTCATGAATCCAATCAATGGGCCAGAAATCAGTGAGGTCCACTCTGAGCACCAAGAGACAATGGGTCAGAAAGGGTCCCAAGCCAATAAGCACTCCAGTAAACCAGAAACTGGGGTTAGGCAACAAATGTGGGAGACCAGGATTGTTTGGACTTCAAGAGTCTAGGGCTGTAGTTATACATAACCCATGCCTGACTTGGATGGCAAGAGATGAAATAGTATATACATATTAAGTTCCACAGGGATAAAGCACATAGTGATAATGAAAATCTGCTGTGACTTTTTGGTGCAGTGTTCTGCTCCAAAATAGCAGCTACACAGCTATTCGAAGATTCATCTTCAAGAGGCTGGGCTGTCATCTGTTAATCCAGAAGACCTGACTTTGCAGAAATCACCTAAATGAGAGCGGGAAAGCTCAGAAACACTATACAGAATTTACTTTAAAAAAATTGCTTCATGGGTAAGAGCCAAGATAGTTTTCTGAGTTTGAAATTACTACTGTGATTAATCCTACTCCCTATTTGTTATGTTTTAATGATTTCAAACCCTGCCTGATCAAACCCCCTCCTTCCTCACCAATGGTTAAACACTATTCTGAAGTAGGTGTATATCATTTCCACTCACATCTTTTTATTTCTGCCAAATATTTTCATAACCATGAGCAATAAAGCATATCATTTTGTCATAAAAATACGTTCCAAAAAGGTTAGGTAGAGAAGTCTAATCTTAATTTCTGAAAGCTATAGATGTTTTACCTAGATAGGATCTTTCACAGTTAAAGCTTGTGTAAGTTAAAAAAAAAAAAAAAAAAGTTACCATTTGCTCCTTTCAAGCATTGCCTTGAATCACAAAGTCATCTTGCATTACACTGCCCTAGGACTTGTTAATGGCATTTATACTCAGTGCACAGCATTTTAACACCTTCAAACAAAGCATTTTTATGTCAATTTCCTTAACAGTGACACTGAGGAAGCTGCTCAGCAGCACATCAGAATGCTAGAGTAACTCAAGCCCATCAGATCTGAAAATCATTGCATCATGGTAATAAAACACTTAAGAGCATGCCCCAGGGAAAGACAAATCCGACAATTAAACGTTCAATACCAATTGGTACTACCACTTTCTTAGCACAAGTCATATTTGCAATGTTAAGATCAAAAAATTATTTCACTAACCAGAATAAGCATATTCTTAAATAGATTTTCCAATTAGTTACAAGTTTAAAGCAAATAAATAAATAAAAATACCACATGGGAGATAAATTATTACTCTTCCAAGGTATGATTTACAAGAGAATTAGAAAAATAATCATATCTATGTAAGCAATTTCTTCAAATTAAATAAACTAGTAATCCTTTTTTATGGGCATGGGGAAAGTAGAGGATAACCCCCAAATTAAATGGCAAATTCTAGGCAGTGTCCATATTAAACAATCTCTAAAAGGAACCAGGGTTCCTTGGAGAACTGGTAGATTCCAGAAAAGTACAAGATGAGCCTGGAATATCTTTGTCAGAAAGTAAGCAAGTGCTCACAGATACATAAAGAAAAGATAAAAGAACACAGGAGCCAGCTTGAAGAAGCTCTCACTGGCCAATCCTGGACAATTTGAACAATGAAATAAATAATGGTAAAATAGACCAAAGCCTACTAAATAAAATAGCAAGCTCTGTGAATAAATAAGTGTCAAAGAGAAAGCTTTTTTTAAATGATACTAGAGATTGAACCCAGAGGCCCTTTTACACTGAGCTACATCCCAACCCTACTCCCACTTTATTTTAAGACAGAGTCTCACTAAGTTATTCAGGGGCTTACAAAATTAAAGATGCTGGCCTGGAACTTGTGCTTTTCCTGCCTCAACTTCCTGACTTGCTGCCACATTGTCCAGCTGAGAAAACTTACTTTTATAATAAAAAGCCAATAGATACAAAACAGAAGAAATGATAAAATAAGACAGCCATGTTTGGGGGAACCAACAGAATAATAATTAATTCAGAAAAAAAAGTTAAATTGTAAAACCAGTGAATGAAACTATTATGCAGGACAGAACATTTACAATATCAAAGTACCTTCCCAATATACTTATTAATAACAAAGTGGGGAAAGAATTTCACAGTGTAGAAAGCTGGCCAGCTCCATCTTAACCAAGGGACCAAAGTGAGCATCCCCAGCAATGGACAAATGGAAATCATGTAATGGGACAGGAGAAAAACACATAATTTTCTCATTGTCCTATAAAAATGCATAAAAATAGCATAATCATGAGACAACATCAGATAAATCCTACATTTATGTAGGGGGTCACTGTACAACCTATCTGACCTACCCTTTTCAAAATTGCCAAAGCCATAAAAGTCCAAGAAAGACTAAGGAACTACTCTGGACTGAAAGAGACTAGAGAGCTATGGAAACAAAATGCAAAACACAATGCTGGGAAGGATGCTGGACCAATAAATGACAAATGGCAAAATGTGAATGGGGTCTGATAATCAGGCAGTGTTGGTATCAGTGTTAATTTCCTAAATTGGATGGTTATATTTTCATTACACAGGCAAATGTCAATGTTTAAAAAAAAACATATATATATA